GAAAAAATTTATTTTAATGGCCAATTCGGTTTTATGACACGGTTCAATATCGGTTTATGTTTACTTAACAATCTCACCTTCAAAATTTTACAACAAATTATTTGCGCCTTCGTATCATCTTTTTTTTTTTTTACTTTATCAATATTTTTTCATCCTGTTTTTCTTGCTAGTCATGTTGCTTTCTTACATTTTGACTGGAATTTGATGAAAGAAATGGAAAGCTGAGGCAAAAAAAAAAAAAAACAGCTTTTTGTTATGATGTTTCGTAGTTAGTGAATTGGAAAACTGAATCAGTGATCATTAAACCGTTAGTTGTTCAGTCAGTTTGCTGGGGTACAGAGATGAGCTTTTTCTGAGCGGGGAAGCGAAGCTTCAATTACTGCCGCTTATATTCAATTTTATTACTTTTGCAACTTAGTGAACTGTAATTTTTTCTTTTGTTCATTGACAAAATTGGTTTAGTTTATTATCCAAAAGAGAAAAAAATTTTGCAACATCAATATCGTTTCTTTTTATTGTTTTTTTTGCTAAACATTTTTGTACTCTCATTGCTTTTACCAATTTTATTGAATTTTTTTGGCTCAATTTTATTCTATATACATAAGCGTTGATTGTATTCTGTTGTATTTCAATGTAATATATACCTATGTCTGTGTCTGACTGAATCTGTACCCCGTTTCTATCTGCTGTCTGAGTCTGTTGATGTGTATAGGGGGTGTAAAGTCAAAAAAAAGAAGGGAAAAAAACGATTGAAAATTTTACTGCTCTTCAAATAAATCAAGAACACTGTTTTTTTTTCTTGTTTATCCCGTATAGAATTGGTAAACTCTGAAAAATAAAATGAAATTTTATGATGCGGAAAAAAAAAGTTTTAAGAAAAAAAAAAAAAAAAAAAAGAAGAAAAAAAGGAAAAAATTGAAGGGCATTAATTATTTGCATAACATTTTTGGAATCATTTTTCAAGCATTCTTCTTCTTCTTTTTCTTCTTCTTCTTCTTCGTTCTTCGTTTACTTCTCTTTACTCTTCAATCTTTTTAATTTCCCCCCCCCCCAAAAAAAAAAATTTTTTTTATAATAGTTGAAAACGAGTTTAACACCTTATAGTAGCAAATTTTAAGAAGAAGAAGAAGATGGAAAAAAAAAGAAAAAAAGGTAAACTGATTAAATGAATTAAGCAAAAAAAAAAAAAAAAAAAAAAAAAAAAAAAA